GTGTCCAGTATTTAAGCCCTATAATGGCTTCGTGAGAGGTTTGGAGTAAAAGCGTTTAGTTGTTATGGTACAGGTATGAGGTGTGCGTGTGTACAGTCATTGTCATCTGTAAGAACACCGTGTCTGAAAGCTGTCTCGCTATATTCCTTAGCATCTTCGACAAACATGGGGGGCACTAAAGAGATTTATAGCCCATTCAACTAGTAAAATACACTTAAACCTGCCCAATTACCTTTGGTGTACAGTCAGTGGCGGCCACACGGGAGGAGTTTATCTTCAATTAAGTTTTGTGTTTAATTGGGTAAAACTGTGTGTAAATAGGAGAGAAAGTTGATTACTTCACGAGTTGTTCTCGAAATGCTAAGCCAGTATGTACCGAGGGCAAATGTTATGATTAGTTAGGCTACACACGCCAATCGCCAGTACTGTGCCCCTGTCTAGTCATATACTACAGAAGTAACTGTTAGTCGGCCAGGCACCAACTCACAAAATCAACCTAGGTGCAACTATAGAAATGTTTTAAATAGGAAATTCTCGCACCTTGATGTAATGTTTCTCACTACCTTGATGTATTTGAAACAAAAAATGAATAAACCCGACTTATTACCACCGTATTGTGTATTCTCTTTTAAAAGTCATAAAATATACGTTTTACTTTTTAACGTAAACCAAAGGTGAAGATATAACTTTCAATGAAACTTGTTTTAAACAAGTTGAAATAATTGTAATATTGAGTTGAAGCATTTTGTAAACTGCTTTGTATTCAAGAGGAAACAAACCGGATGGTTCATGAATATTATATAAATAAAAAACAATCGAGTTTTCTTCGAATATTACTACTACATGTATAATAATAATATTAATCATTTTATTCAACAAAATCCAGTCAATGGCTGTTGTAAGGCACTTTACAAAGGTTATACACGAGAGTGTATAAAAAAAGCTGAAAGAAATATAATCTCCCAATCATATAACTTAGAATGAATCGTTTTGAATAAGATTTAATATCGTTTTTTTTATAGTAAAACTACTTGCGGCTCTATATTTAACCAATATTCTGGCATATTTCCTCAATAAGTCTTAGCGTTCAAATAGTTCTCAAACATCAAACATATATATTGTTTAATATATTAAGAAACAGCGGGATGGCAGGTTTTAGAAAGATATAATTGTTATTACTTTATTTATCTAAGACACAGAATATGGCGTCGTTAAATCAATAGAAATGCCATAAATCAAGGTATGGTTTATGGATCTGAAAAATCTTTGGATTTAAAAATGTTTAATAAAGTACTTTTGATTGCGTTTGGTCTTAAACTCCGTATTTTATCATTATTCTGGAATGTTAAATGTTACTTTGATACCAAGTCAGAAAACAGATTGGCCAAATGGTGCTTAAGTTTAACAACAGAAGAGTTTTTCCAGAAAATATTCTAAATATCACAGTATAATATATAATAATCTATGCAATGGTATTAGTACATTAGTACAATATTGTTACTATTTCGTGATGATTTTGTGGTCATAATAAATAGCACATTTATTTATAAAAAAAAAAAGATAAAACAACAGCCAGAAACTAAACAAACTTTAGACTAAGTCAACATTTCAAAATATGTAAGCGGCAAGAAAGGTGTAGCATACTTTCCGATAAACCCATTTCTCTCCTTGAAATCAAAGCAGAATTAATATTTATTTAAATTTCAAGTTGTTTTTGTTTTAGTTTAATTTTACTAGATTGAGGGGTTGGGTCAGTTTGGATATTAGACGATTTCTACAAAATCCTGTATAGCAGCATATACACCAAGCATAACATTTACTATTTAGAAACAGTAAGTTATAATCACCGACGTGCTTATTATTGCTTGATAATAAAGACTAGTTGTATTCCCTAAAATTCTGTTCTGAGTGTATCCAGTTCATACACATGATTACTTGAAAACGTTGAGAAAATACTCTTCGAAACGTCGCCTAAATAAGTATGTGTTATAGTTTATGATTACATAGGTTACAATTAATGTTTGTGACTTTTTGAGTAAGATTCTCTATTCTTTACAAGCAAGCAAAAATAAAGACGAGAGAATCTCAGCCGAAACGTAGCTCACTAATAAACAGTACTTTGTTTCAATGGCATTTAGTAATTGAACTGGACTATATAGGTCACAATTCTATGGAATACAATTACTGCTTATTATTGAGCGACGTTTCGACTAGGCGTCTCTATGAAAATATAACAAGACAATATATATGTGTACACAACAATACTTAGTTAATGCTAATACCCTTTAATTAGGTGTACCTAAAGGGAATCTAGGTACACGTAATTAAGGGGTATCTCTGGTTGATCAGCATTAACTAAGTATTGTTGTGTACACATATATATTGTCTTGTTATATTTTCATATTTTATCATTGCTTGATAATGACTAGAGAAGCCTAGTCGAAACGTCGCTCAGTAATAAGCAGTAATTGTATTCCATAGAATTGTGACTTGTATAATAAACAGTAATTGTATTCCATAGAAATGTGTCCTTTATGTCCAGTTCAATTATTAAATGCCACTGATACAAATTATATCCAGTTCAATTTATAAATGCCATTTTAAGAGTTTCTTATTAAATTATAAGTTGTGATTGGATTTTTGTTCAGTATATCTGATAATTTTTTGACTTTGAATTTTAGGTCTTAAATGTGTGGTTATTGTGAGTTGATTTACAAGGCAATCGCCTGCTTTATCACAAAATAAATAACATTCACAACAGTATTGAAATATGTTTATGTAATGAACATCTTCTGTCTTCGCTAGAAATGCCAATTTCAAAGGGAAGAATTTCGCTTCTTCCGTTTCTCTATCACACAATAGTTCTAATACAAAAGAAAGGAAAGTCGGCACCTAATTGATTGCACGTGCACCCTTGAGTAGGAATATCTTGTGCACGTGACGTGGAACCGCTTCTTGTTGCTATGACATTTACCAAAAGATGTAAACTGTCAAACTTGAGATAAAAAATCTACCTGATATACGTCTTTTACCTACATATATGATATTACATTATCTACAAAATACTCAATACTTTTTTTTTAAATTCTTTGAATATATCTTTTCTTATAGCTACCTTCACACTTGACTTTTCAATCAGAATGTGAACGAATGAATATACATGCGCGCCCTCATTTAAGGTACACGTCTTTCTGTTCATTTTTGTGTAAATTAATTAATGTTTCAAAAGTCAAATAAATGTAAAGTTTAAGTTAGAGTAAACCCATTTTGTTTTATTTCCAAATATTATAATAAACTGTTCGAGAGAGAGAGAGAGAGAGTGAGAGAGAGAGAGAGTAATATCTTTGTAATATAATAATAAATAAAAGAATATTTCAAGAACAAAATGGTAGTGAAATTTAACAAAATTTCTAAACCCAAAACTGCTGCAATCATAAAATTAAACTTAAAGTGTTAAATCTGTTCATTTAAAGCTATCATATTACGAGTGGACAAAACGAAGACATGGTAGTATTTGATTACACACGTGTAGGCATGTTTACTCTTAATTCAACATCACATGGCTAATAACCCCCCTTCTTCACAGGTGGCAATTAAAGTCAAGAAGTCGACAGGGGAATTGGGAGTTTACAATTGTCGGAAACTACACAACTTAATTTGATCCCAAAATCAAATGTTGAAAAACATCACCTTAAAACAGTAGCGGAGTGCAACATACACCAAATGTCATAAAAATTTTATCATCTAATAGTCATAGTAATTTTGATTTATTCATTCAAAAATATGCAATTCGTAAAATGATTATACTTAGACAAAAAAAATTAATCTCACAAATTATTATCCATGTAATTATGATGTCTATGTTACAATATGTAAGCATTTAATTGATTATTAATATCCTTTTACAATTACTAATTAAATAATATTCAATTATCTCCCATTTAATTAACAAAAAACAGGTTTTTTTTAGGGTTGTTGAAATAAAGACAAATAAAGACAAAAGCATTTAATTTCTCTAAAATTCCACCGTACAAAGGCAATTTGGTTTAAATTGACACGATAAACTGACATTAATCCACGATTAGACATTATATATTGACTGACAGGGACCGGGATAGGATTTACTATCTACAACCCAGCCATAGTTCAACAGTATTTTTTTTAGCTAAAACAGACAGTTTACTTTATTTGAAACCGCATAGTGCAATAAACCTTATGTTAATATTAAATGCGAATTTTAAATTCTTTCTAATTTAATCAAATGTGTAATCATTATAGACGTTAGATTATATTGCACCACAAGACTTAATTCTTTACAAAATGCTTGACTTTGATAGAATAGTAAAACATATATCAAATGAAATAAGAAAATGAAAAATGATATGTTTTTTAAAAAAATAAAATAGGTATTAAAAACAACCAATGAACTGATTTGGGATGTGTTTAACATTAAACTTATACAGTTAGAATTAATTATTTTCTCTTAAATAATAATAAGTAAATAACAATCCATTTATATTGTCACTGAAAAAATATTTACAATTTGCCAGTACAATTTTTTTAAATTATTCAAACGTAAATTCTAATTAATATATATATATTTTTTTTAAAGAATTTATAAATTTGAATAAAATCTTCAAATGCAACTGGCCACGAGTGACAAACCATCATAAGCAAAACTATTAAAACCCGTTGCTACTAATAACACTGTAGCATCATGGGTAAAATGTATTGGCATCGGATTTGGAAAGTCAGCAAGAGTTGTTCGCCTTACATAATGGAATATGACGTCACGAGTTCTATTGACTGCCGCAATTAATCCACTCGGGAGAAGCTGTTCTGAAGGCAGCTTTTCGTTGGCTGCGTTGTGTGTGTTGTTAATCTTTAATCATTCGCAGGTGGAAATTTAGAGCTCCATCGAAAATAAATATTGGTTTTTTTTTTATCAATTTAATTAAAATGAATCTTACCTTTACAACTTAGTGTTTTACTGCTTGTAGTTTCCAAACCAAAACTGCCACCACTGCTTTGACTTAGAGCCCGAGAGAAATGATCGTCCACAACTGTAGATATATCTCCAGAAAAATAAGTAAGTAAAACACAATTGGCATTCAGGTAATGTGTTTCTTTCGGTTGTATCTCCCGTTCACTGTCTTCGTCTTTAACTATTGTAGATGATGTGCTAGGGCCAGGATAACTCCCCAAATCCAAAGGTTCGTGCATTCTCGGCACACCAAATGCCTGTGGAATAACAAAAATGTAGCAACGTAGTTGATAATTTAATACTCGGATGACAGCTAACGCGAACCAACACACGAGTGATAGCTTTTCTTTGAATTATTTCTAAGACGTTGTCTAATATTTCTACGGCTGAAAGCTACGGTCGGCGTGCGAATTATGCGGGCTACTACTAGACTACGGTATGCATGCCTTTGTCTTAGATGACAGTTTTCCTCGATAAGAAAATGCGAGGCCTAACGATCAAAGGAATTGTCAAAGAGTGAAATATGCATATTGACAGGTAGTCATTTTCTTTAACCATCGGTGACTAAAAATTACCTGAACGGCGTCGGTGGCGGAACGCGAATACGGGAAACTTGCTCCGTAAGGTTGGTACATAACTTCAACAGAACTCATAATAACAATCGTAATACCGTAAGCTTTACCGTTTTGTTGACGGCTTGTTGTGCTTCAACATGGTATTTTGAGTATTGAATATATTTGGTATATGCCAGGGCGGTACTACTATAAAGTTCTCAATCCTACGAGTCACGCGTTACTGTCAATCAAATGTTCATTACACCCCTCTCAGCTTATCGTACATATTGACTTTTCAACTCAACATATCACGTGATTTGTCTGACAATTTTACTCTTTACAACAAAAATATTTTTTCACCTAAATAAGTCAAAATACAGCCGATATGATTTGTTTTACTTTGAAACAATCCACTTTAAGCTCTTGGTGGATTATTATTACTGATTTTTAAAGCATTCATTAAGTACTGGATAATTTATGTTTATTAAAATTTAATATTGGTCTAAGTACTAAATAATTTTGTATATTAAAGTCTAATATTGGTTTATTTTTCTCTTTTAGTTTTTTTTAAAGAAATCAGCTGAGTTGCGAAATAAAAAGTATTCACGCCATCATATATTATATTTTTGTTTCAAGAAATAAAGGGAAACAACTCTTATTTTTGGAAATTTAGTGTGACCGGAAGTTGAATGCTTTCTACCACAGATGGAGCAACATGTTGACATGACTTGATATAAGCAACGTCTTGCTCAGAAGTACGCATATGGGGTTCACAATGGAAATCTTGAGAAACACAAACTGGAAGTAGCATATTAGTACACGTGTAACTATATTATCCGCCCTAACATAACCAATCAAGACACCATGCCCGTAGCTAGCGGGGGGGGGGGCGGGCAAGGGGGCGTCAGCCCAACCAATGTCACTCGGCTTTATGGGGCGCCCTTACTGAGATGGACACGTTGGTTGTTGGCTTCGTATTGCGTTTAAAGAAAAGGGCGCGGTTCGGCGCCGCTAGCCACGGGCATGGACACAACTACTTGGCACAGCATCGATAAAGTGTGAATGTAATTCTCTTAGCGATCATGGAAACGAATTGGAATTCTTACACAACTAATTAATGTTCCTAGTAATAGTCTCTAGTCAAATCGAATACTTTCAATCGTGAAAGTGACGGCGTCTCTCAGTAAATGCATTCCCCCTACCTGTATTTCACAGGGCTTAAATGATCGATTTTGTGTAATTCGCAAAGGTAGTTCTGGAGTTATTCTTGTGTTCAAAGGATGATGCATACATTTTCAGGAAAAAGTTTGAATGAGATGAATATGACCCCTACTGAAATTTGGGTGTATTAACCAAATTTATTACCTCTGAATAATATTTAAATGCTAACCAAAGTATAGCAACCTTGCATCGAAAGTTGGTACTGAAAACCTGACAGTTATTCGGAACTGTGTGCATGTTTTGCAGTCCAGGTGTTCTAAAATTCAAAGATACACTTCCTCGGATTATATGAAAGCTATTAATTATTACCGAAAAGGTGTTATTATATCCAAGGTTTATTGCCCAGGAGTCCATAACCTTGGTTTACTGTCGCTTTGCACATAATTTCAAAGTAGTTTAACAATGTCGAGGTTTTCAATGAATGATGAATAAAGGCATTTCCTTTTAGCAGTTTCTACTGACCATTATTGCAACCTTTGGCAGTGCTTTGTCATCTGACTAAACCATATTCGAGATCAAACTTTGAAAAAATCTACGAAATTGGGAATCAGGAGTTGACCCATGATCACCTCTCCCCGCATTTCGTTTTGAATAAAAAGTCGTGGGTTTGTAGAGTGTGTGTAGAAAGATCGACATTAAAGCGACAAGCTAATGGAAATCAATGTGCAAGTAGAAAGAGAAGAGACGATCAAGTTGAAAAACCATTCTATAACAAATACTAGTCTGTCTGTAGCCATGTTGTTATATACACAGTCCGTACATTTTTATCATTTTATCATGTGGACAATATAAACTACATCGACTTAACCCTTCACTTTACATTGGATGGTCAGTTTTAGAACCATTGTTATATCCGTGTTTCGAATAGCAGTGTCAACAGTGATGCTAACGGAGCCGCTTTTGTTTTAGTTAAAAAAAAATGTTTTTATTCATCCAGTGGGTGTTGTGTGCGGGTGGAATAACCTCCTTTGGTTTTCGTTAAATTTGGTTTTATTATTAGTACCACCTTTTTTTCGCCCAATCGGTGCTGTGTGTGAGGTAGGTTGGGTGCTTTAGTCAGCCTATAGAGACTTACCATTTGAGGCGAGATCGCTCGAGAAGGTTACAAGAAGTGATTTCAATTTTTCCGTAAATGTAACCCTGCAACTGAATTTTAATCAATAGCCAGAGGGGTAAAATCTCGATTCTAACACCTCTTCGATATAAAAAGAATTGTGCCCATTTTTAAGACATTAGCCATTTGATCGATTCGAACAGTGGTAAAGTTGGATGAAATTGTCAAGGGATAATGTCAGATTAATTGGTCATTCGTTCCTAGAGTTTTACAACCACTTCCACCATGGATGATATCGTAGACAAGCAGATTAATTGCAGTTGAAATTGTTTTATAGTTGAAGATGTTGAATAAAATCCAAAATCATGTTTAGGAATTTAGGCATGATCTATGGTGGCTGATTTTTAGGCTTTTATTCAATACAACACCAGGTTGTCATCTACTGCACTTGATTCTCACCTCTATCTCTCCATGTAAATAATGTTTTATTGTGTGTTCAGAGAGCCGGGAAAAATCCGGGTCTCGTCAAAATGCACATCGTAACAAATCTTCTCACGCGAAATTAACCTCAAATATGAAAACCTTGATCCTCGGTATTACACAATATTGTGAAATCCCGGCGTCCAATTACAAAAGGATCACCTCTATCGACTTATTCTCTTGTTTTATTGACAGACATCTAAGCTAAGCTTCCCGCCTCTAACTTCCTGCCAACTCGGTGCATAGATTCGTTAGCGTTGTTGTCCCTAATAGCTAGGTTGCCGCGATGGATGCACAAGGCTACGCCTGCATTGATGACATTGTCCAGTCGTTACTACCAATTGTCCCCGGTAAGACTGGGTGGTTCGGAGTTTTGAGTAAGGTTACGCTACAGCCGATACAGTTTACATATTTAAAGAGCGTGTTTCTCATAGCAGTTCAACTCATCTTGCTTAAGTTCCCCTACAACATTAAGCCTTTGATATCCACAATGGAATATTTGCTAGGAGGGGTTAAGTCATCATTCAATATTGACTTGAATGTCTTCTAGCAGCTGACGGTCTCTTTTAAGTCGCTCAGGAGAAGCAAACATTAAACTTTTGTTGCTCTTTAAATCAATGAAAATATTCAATAGAAAATTCGAAATCTTCAGGTGTTTTTCTTCAACGACTGTTTGAAAAGCAAATGTTCCACTATTGTATCTGTTTAAAAATTTTCGTCTTTACTCCACTTCTCCGTATCTTGTCTGATTAGGACATCATCAATGTTAATGTTCAGATTCTTGACAATGAAGGTTTGAAAAGGGCATCTGTAATCGACTTTGCAAATTGTCGTCACATTAAGACCGTATCACAATTTACGTTTTTTTTATGATAAGGTACTAAACAGGGATCTATGCTCAGATCACTCGAACCAGAAAGTTTTAAATTTAAATATATCGCACGTAGTATACTTACTTCGCACCCCTCCATAATTTAATATTTGTTTCATTCTGTTTAATAATGGAGGGGTTGAATGGCCGAATGGTTAGCGCGTGCTCGTTGTATCATAAGGTCTGCCATTGAGTCAACTGGCGTGGTTTCGATTCCCCGGTTGTACGTGACAAGGAGTACGGTCGGCTGTCCAACCTTGTGGGTATTTTCCGGGTCCTCCAGTTTCCTCCCACTGCTAAAGACCCTACGCGTAAGCGAATTATTGAAATAAAATTAAAAATTAAACCATATGTTAGTTCCGAAATGACCTAGTTCGTGTCGAGTGAACGTTACCCCCCCCCCCTTTTTTCTCTGTCTCATTTTGTTAAATAAGTTTAGTTTTGTTTTCGCTATAATAAGTTTTTGCGTTTTGCATTGATATGTCGCATTGATATAATTGATACCATTTACAGATTATGTTCAGGCACTGAAAGTATTAAGAGTCAAAATGTATGTGTGGGAGGGATATAGAAAATAGTGCTCGGAAAAATATTTAAATTCGAACATTCGATCTAGAATAGTTTTGCGAGCACTAATTTCTATATTGTTCCCACACACACATTTTGGCTCTTAATACATCCAGTACCTGAACATAATCTGTAAGTGGTATCTATTATATCAAATGCGACATAGTATCAGGTGTATATTCTAAACATTCGATTTAGAATAGTTCTGTACGACGATTCGAATTGCTTTTTTAAGTATTCGTTATTCGATATCAATTAAAATTAATTGAATTTTTTCTGGGCTTATTTTTCTGCCCAATATAATTTATTTTATTAATATTTAATCAATGCAACCAACTAGTATTTTAAAAAAATATATACAAATACAAAAAGGAAAATATATTACACCAAAAATAGTACAAAAGATAATAATTTTAGTTAAATAGATTATTCGAATATCATTTGAATAATAAATTAGAATATACGAAGAGTAAAATCAGCATTTCGATGAAACCACTAATTCCTTTCCAAACTGTAGCACCAACACAGTGTAGCCATCGTAAACGGGTGACATGCATAATACATGGCATTAATGGTGTCATATTATGGAAATTAGTAAATAGGATCGGAAATTAAAAAAAAGTTTTTCTGGTTAAAAAACAAAACAAAAAAGTAATTCTTCCATGGAATTTAAAAACAGATTATTGAGCCATTCTAATGTTTATCGCTGGGAGATCGATATATCCTTCGCGTGGACAGTGCTGTTTTCTTTTTATGAATATCATCAATTTACTATATTATTTTGAATATTTAATGAAAATTCTTAGGACTTATAATTGTTAATTTTTTGTTGTTGTTAGTTTATGAATCAATACATATTTGTTTAATATCGTTTAAAGAGTGGTTGCCACAACGCCAAAGGAATTCACTACCAGGAAGCGGATCGGGTGTAGTACCTTCGCATCTTCTATAGAAAATAGTTCAGCAGTCATAAAACGTTTTGTACTATTCATACGTTTAAAATATGTCTTTCCTAATTTAAAGAATAGCGAGATAAGACAATCAAATATCTAAATTATAAAAATTATATTACGTATAAATATATTTGCAACATGTCTATATTGAAGGAAACATGATATATACCTAATGTAAGAAATTAAAGTACTGCATACAGTTAGATGTTATAAATATCCAAACCGTGTTAAACCGCGTTATTAGAATACTTCAAAATTTTGTCAAATAATCTTTAAATATTTTGCAGTTAAAAATAATCTAAGCTATAAATCCACTTTATTAGCATAGCTTATTGGTGCCAATGAAGATGTGACATATCACGTTAGACCCATCGTTAACTTCAAAGAGTAGAATTTATGACAAGTGCCAAAATGAATTATAAAATGTTTACCTTAGCAATAGTGGTATAATTGTTGATCCGCGGATAGTCCCCCTTGACTACAACAATTGTACAGAGCGCTTTTCAGAGTTGTACAGATTCTTAAGCTTGTCGAGAAGCCGTAACTCCGAGTCCTTTTCTCTTTTAACAATAATAAACCAGATATTTTTTCCAGTCTTTATTGTTGACATATGACGCATCGCTTTGGGAATATTTTTGTCCTTAAAGATATGAGGTTAGTCCGAAGTTCGGCCACAATGTGCCTATTGTTTTAAGGACATCAAAAGCCTGCATGACGCACACATTCAGA